GCCCTTGTCCCTTTCCTGGCCCTCCTTGTTTCTTTCTTTTTTTAATGTATTTTTTTTATTTATTTCTTAAAGTATTACAAAGAGTATTACACATGTCTCCTTTCCCGCCCCTCCTTGACATTCCCCCGGCCTCCCCCACCCCCCAGTGTCTTGTGTCCATTGGTTATTCTCATATGCATGCATACAAGTCCTTCGGTTGATCTCCTACCTCCAACCCCTCCCCAGGCTTCCCACAGTAGTTTGACAGTCTGCTCAATGCTGCTCTGCCTCTGTATCCATTTTTGTTCATCAGTCTATAATAGTCCTTATTATCCATAAATGAGTGAGTTCATGTGGTATTTTTCTCAGCTTCCCAGGGACTGTCTCAGGCTCACAGGGGCCATCTCAACCTCACAGGGCCCGTTTCAGTCTCACAGGGGCCATCTCAGCCTCACAGGTGCCGTCTCAGTCTCACAGGGGCTGTCTCAACCTCCCCAGGGCTGTCACAACCTCCCCAGGGCTGTCACAACCTCACCAGGGCTGTCCCAGCCTCACCAGTACCGTCTCAGCCTCACATGGGCGGTCTCAACCTCACATGAGCTGTTTCAATCTCACTGGGGCCTTTTCAACCTCACTGGGGGCCGTTTCAACCTCACTGGGGCCATTGCAACCTCATCGGGGCCGTCTCAACCTCACCGGGGCTGTTTCAACCTCACTGGGGCCGATTCAACCTCACCGGGGTCATCTGAACCCCACCGGGGCCGTCTCAGCCTCACCAGGGCTGTTTCAACCTCACTGGGGCCATCCCAGCCTCATGGGGCCATCCCAGCCTCACAGGGGCTGTCCCAGCCTCATGGGGGCCATCTCAGCAACATGAAGTTTGGCATTCTGTCCTTGGTTGGGCGGCTCCTAGCTGGACAAAATCTCCAGGCGTTCCTGGTGGCTGAATATCTGGTATGCTTGCTTGGATCTCGTTTTCTACCAAGTGCACAGACTGCCTGTCTGCTGTCTCCCAGCGTCCCATGTGAGACTGGTTTTAGTGGACCTGCCTGTGTGTTTGCTGGTGCAGCAGTTCCATGTTGCCGGCCCAGCCAGGTCTGGCTCCAGCTTCCTCCGAACCTGATTCTGCTTCTTGAGTGTGCCCCTTATGTATGCGAGGCGTTGAAATCTGCATTCTGCTGGGCTGGGCTGCAAAAGTGCCGGTGATTCCCTTGGGTGGGGATGTGAACTGAGTAGGGCGGGGTCCCCGGGAATCACCAGGGAGGAGCAAGGGGCAATGGCGCCTCCACGACTCCTTGCCTCTCAGCGATTCAGCATCTCACGTCCCTGAGTGCTGGCAAGCAGCTCCAGGAGACAGCCACTCTCACTCTCGGACCCGCTGCAGGGCCACCCCACCTCTCCCCGTAGGGGTCTGGGACCTCAGGATCCTGCCCCAAACAAGCTGGAGGGGTCTGGGACCTCAGGATCCCGCCCCATACAAGCTCAGTGGATTCGAGAGTCTGCATCCCCTTCTGATTGAAAAAAAACTGCACATCCAGTTGCAGCCCACCTAGTGCGCGACTCCACACCTCTGTTCTTGGCGAATCAACAGGGTGGGGCATAGGGCAATGGCGTCTCTGTGACTTCTCACCTCTCCGTGACTCCACGTCCCCGAGTCCCTGAGCACCGGTGGGCAGCTCCGGGAGACAGCCACTCTCACTCTCTGGCCCATTGCAAGGCCATCCCGCCTCTCCCCATAGGGGTCTGGGACCTCAGAATCCTGCTCCAAACAAGCTCAGTGGACTCGAGAGTCTGCAGCCCCTTCCGACTGAAAAAAACCCCGCATCCAGTTGCAGCCCGCCTGGCGCGCGAATCCGTACCTCTGTCCTTGGAGCCTCTGCACAACCTACTCAGTCTCAATGCTCTTCTTTCTTCCCTTCCAGTTGTAGAGTTTCCACTGGGCCAGCTTTCCCATGGTTCTGAATGACAACTGTTTTATAGTTGGTAGTCTCGATGTTGTTGTGGGAGGCAGCACACACAGGTCTGTACCTTACGCCGCCATCTTGGTTCTCTCTCCAAATAGATTTTCAATATCTTGCTCTCTCTCTTCTACTGGCACCCCCATAATTCGGATGTTGGTACGTTTGAAGTTGTCCCAGAGGTCCCTTACA